TAGCTGCGATATTGGGCGCGTTAGTCAGCAACGAATGGTGCAGGAGGCTTTCGCTTCGCTTTACCTCACTTAAACCGCAAAGCATAGGCAATGACATCGCCGCATTTTTTGGATAGTCTTTCGATTCTGGGCATTTGTAAGCCTAAATGAACGCGATAATTGTCGGCATGGCAACGTCTTTATCAAGGGGCTTTAGGCGGGTATGGACACGAGCGCAGCTATGCGGCAGTGAATGGCAGCGCGTCACTTCTTTTCGCAGCTTGTCAACTTCTCCGATCCAGTAACGGTTTTCCTAGGGTGCCTTCATGTGCGCTTTGCTTAGGGTGGAGACATCTGGCCATTTTGTTTCCCCTTTTACATTTATTTTTGTTCAGAAGCGCGTGAAAGAGCGTGTCCCTGCACGCGTCTGTGGCGCTGATTGTGCTATGGCGACATTTTGTTTTCATCGATTTCTTCGTATTTTCCCCGTGAGCGCGTGCTGTCGGCATCGGGTACTACAAAGGGTGGCATCACTCTAAACAGAAGGTCCTTGAGGCACCCTAGTTTCTCCAGCCCTAAATAACACTGTACCTCAATTAGAGTGTAGTAGAAGGAACGATTGGGGCGACCTGAGTGGCTATTTAGGTACCTCCACATGTGGAAAAAACCGGCTAATCCAACCCACTTTGCTTGTAGCGCCCTCTCGGGCACTGCGAGCGAAGCGGTTCGGATTAGCCGGTTTTTATGAAAAACGCGTAGCGTTCCAACGCAAAGATCGCTCCACAAGCGGCGGCGCCGAAAAAAAGCTTCGATCGTCTCACTCAGCCCTTTCTAGTACACTCTACGAAGGTGGCGCTGCGGTCGAAGTGGCTTGGGTCCACCTGATCGCTTTCCACATTTTGAGGTGCAACTGATAACATGAGCGGAGCCTCTAGCTCGTCCCACTCGTTCCTTCTAGTACACTCTACCTCAATTCTCTTGTGGGGTGCCATTTTGATGGGGAACAAGCGTCCATGCTTCCACGAGGTGGAAGGATGTCAAGTCCCTTTATAAAATTGACACTTCGCGTGAATTTTATTTTATCAGTGGGCTTCAGAAGCGCATGCTTATTTTCGCAACCACAACCGCTTGACTATGCGATCAAAGTCAAGCGATTGTTCTGTAGACGCTTTAAACTCGCGCCAGACTGAACCGCCACTGCCGACCTTCTCTTGTCTTACCGAGATGCGAAGCCACTGAAGCGGACGTTGACGAGCCTCCACAAAGTTGTTTGGGCGAAACCAGCTGAACATACAAATATCAACCGCCCATACAAATGAGGGGAGAAATTAATTGCTCATTAAACCCAAATTTACATTACCAACTAGCTCAACTTTTCCCCGTCGTAAGTTATCCTCAACAAAGGCTTATGCTATGGAGGACACAGTAGCACATAAAGTGGTAATAAGGGGAACCAAAAACTGAAGGTGGTTATGGTGGAGCCTACGCACAGCTACCTGAGAGCGTCTATATGGTTTATTTTATAACTTTTTCTTTATTGATTGATTGGTAGAACCACTGAACGATTGATGAAGACGAAAACTTTGCAGTCGTTTCGCTTGTCTTGGTATTTGGATATTTGGAACCACATAAAAAAAGTGCTGATGTAAAAAGTTTAGAAATGTATTTGATATGGCTTAATTCCTAATCCCCGTCGCACGCTGAAGAACACGTCAGTACAAAAAAGAACGACAAAAATAAAGCTGAAATTAAAAAAAATTTGTTGAAATCGTCGTTTCGTGAGGCTCTAGTGGTGAACGCGTGCACACACCACGAATGCCGGCACGAGCGCCGGCACGAGCCTCTCGCTTGATGGTGCACACTCAAAATCTCGTCAGATTGTTCTTCAGTTCGAGGCCATTGTGAAATTTTCAAGCGACCCGGTGGTTCCGAGTAGCGCGCAGTGACAGAGACGCCGGCCGTGACGAGCCTCGCCGCCCGGGGAAGGCATGGACATCCGTCCGGTAGTCACGACTCCCAGGACCGAGAGTAGTTCATCTGACTCGGCCACTCTGAGCCTGCACGAGTCGCCCTCCCAAGTCGGGCGGGTGAGTGCCAGCTGCCTGAAACCCTCGGTTGATCCAATGCAAGTTCGTCTGCTTCTTTCTGATTGAAGGATAGTGCGTAAACCCCAAAGCAAGCTGCCTTGAGGTAGACCCACAATCCTGCAATCGGAGCCAATCAGATATCGACGTCCTGACGCCGACACAACCCCTGCAAAAGAAGCAGACGAACTTCCGCTCCGCATACCATTTATAATTAAAAAAAAGACAAAAGAAAACATGGCCTGCGCCTTTACTCCCCTCCCCCAAAACGTCGCCACTACCGGATGCACGCAGCGCCGTCTATAGCTTGCCTCAGAGTCGTGACCACCAGCGCGTCTTGCAGCGTCTCACAGGGAGCGCGACGCTAGCGCTTGGCGACGCCAAAACAGACGTGTCTGCCTCTTTGCGGCGTCTCTCGTTGAACTTCAGCGTTTTTGCCGCTTGGGGCAGACCCACAAACGATGACGTCACGAGCAGGCCTTGTCTTTTAGGTGCAGTTTTGCCGTTGCAACGATAGGCCTGACAGCCTAAGACACGCGCAGCATGGTGTCGGGTTCCAAGCATCTTATTATTGTCGCTCCGCATGATTCCCATAAGGTTAGAGAGTTTTTAGTGGATCGTTCCTGTATATCCTCCGATAACGAAACCCGATACTCTGTCGACAACGCGTACGCATGCATCGTACCCTCATAGGATAGCGTTGAATCGGCGATGTCGGGTCAATCTACTAAAACTCTCTAGTAGCCGTTGTGAACACACCGAGGACCAAATCACAAAGAAATAAAGCGTGAACACGATAAGCCACAAAATGCGGATCCTTTAAGTTGTCAGTTGACTGTGGTGACTCCAGCGAAATCGACAGCACCTAGCGGCTAAAACAGACAGCTGTGGCGGCAGGCTTGCTTGCCAGCCTTCTCAAGCGAATCAGATATCCTAGTCCCCTGACGGTCGAAAGACGAAGCCGTGAAAGCAAGTTCAAAAACACGCACAAAAAATACTTTTAGTTTTTCCACTTTGGTCGCGAGGGAAGACCAGCGAAGCTGTACTGTGGTGGGAATAAAGTAATGACAGGCCGCAAGTCGGCAAAGCCAGAGTGGAAAGTCGGGAAAGGTTGCCACCATCTATGAGTGACGGCGGCAACCAGACAACCGGCCAGCCGGTTGTCTCGTTGCCGCCGTCACTCATGAATGGCGGTAGCTGTCCAGAGTTTGTTGTAGTAGTGTTATCCTTCTTCTGCGTATAGCGCGATACTGTCACGCGGTACTGTAACACCTCGATATGACTTGCGGAAAGTGTACCGTGCTCGTCTATCATCATGTGACCGGACATCTATCACCCCTCGATATGACTTGCGGAATGTGTACCGTGCTTGTCTCTTATCATGTGATCGGACATCTATCACCCCTCGATATGACTTGCGGGAAGTGTACCGTGCTCGTCTATTATCATGTGACTGGACCTCCGTATATATTGGATTGCTTGAATAAACTGGGGCTTTCTTGGGCCTGTCCGTCCTGGCCTGCGGCTGGAAGTCTTCTATTCATCCCGGTAGAAAACACGACATGGGTGTCAGGAGAGGGGTTAGATACCTGCCATTCCTTGTGGTCCGTCGCCCAGTTTCTGTCGTGGCTGTCGTCCAAGGGTAACCAGGCATGCCCGGCGACGAAGACAAGGTTTTGTTCCAGCCTGGACCTTTTCCGGTACAGCCGCCGCCGAGCTTCAACTTCGAAAAAAACGTCGGAATGACCTGCTTGCATGGGTTCAGGACTTCGACGATTACCGGTTCGCCTCTGGACTGTACGAGCAGACAGAGGAAGCTCAGGTACGGACCCTACTGTACACCATGGGACGGCAGGCGCGCAAGATATTCCAGCCCTTCAACCTGTCGGAAGAAGACTCGAACAAATACACCGTTGTCAAGCAAAAGTTTGACGACTACTTTGTCGCCGCACGCAACCTGGTTTATGAAAGCGCGTGCTTCCATCGTCGTCGTCAGGAACCAGGCGAGACGGTGGACCAGTTTGCCACAGCCCTACATGTGCTGGCAGACCGGTGCGACTACGGCGAAGTAGAAGAGCGGATGGTTCGCGGCCGCTCCGTTGTGGGCCTACGCGACGCCAAGCTCTCCGAGGCTCTTCAGATGGATTCGACGCTGTCACTGGCAAGCGCCCTTGTGAAGTCACGTATGAAAGTGTGCAGCGACATTAAAAGGAACTTCGCAGCGGTCCCTCCTGTCTATGCGACGCGATCTGGCCGGGTAGTACGCCAGCCTGAGCGGTACGGAATTTCTGAATGCACCGTACTTGGTTCTTGTCTGTTTTGAACTCGGCGTGTTCGATTGATTCATGTTGGTTGTGAATGCTGCGTTGTTGTGTGAGAGTGGATCCTCGAATATTGTCAATGCCACGTGTTGACCTTTTGATTTTTTTTTTTTTTATTGTTCGGGGACGATTCCCTGTTTGATGGAAACTCTGCCTCTCACTCGAAAAAAGGGGGATGTAGTGTTATCGTTCTTCTGCGTATAGCGTGATACTGTCATGCGGTACTGTAACACCTCGATATGACGTGCGGAAAGTGTACAGTGCTCGTCATAGCATCATGTTACCGGACATATATCACCCCTCGATATGACTTGCGGAAAGTGTATCGTGCTTGTCTATTATCATGTGACCGGACCTATTTATATATTGGATTGCTGGAATAAACTGGGGCTTTTTTGGGCCTGTCCGTCCTGGCCTGCGGCTGGAAGTCTTCCGCTCATTTCGGTAGAAAACACGACGGTTGGCATCATTTGTTTGCAGGACGGACACTATACTGGGGAAACTAGCCCTTAACGACTCCGTTGTCAAATTGCCAATGGCCACGCACCTTCAAGGTTGCGCCATTAGCCGTGAAGAACAGCGACGAATGAAACGCAAAGCAAGAGATGTGGACGTAATGGCGCTTGCGCTTCCTAAGCTGCCGACAACAATAGCTCGTGCGTATGTTATTCGAGGGTTGATGTTGTTTGCCGTCCTGCAGAGTCCCAGCGTCGTCAACCATGGGTCCGAGTCCGTGGCCCAGGATGCCGAGGGCGCCACGGACCAGACCAGTGGCCCGGCTCGTCACGTGGGCGTGGTGGCTCCCCGGTTGGCAAGAGACGACCATTTACGCACGTTGTACTTCGAGGACGGCCGCAGGCGCATCGACTTCGTGCTTGCCTACGAGAAAGACGACGACGATCCAGACGCCGAGCGACTCCGCAAGGTCTTCGAGGACAACCTTCTCACCGAGGGACTTGACCTGGAGCTCGAAGATGCCCACGTGCGTTTGCTTGCTGGCACACTGAGCGCTGTCCTGAAACGTCCGCGAGTAAACCCTAGACGAATGTGTGGACCTTCCTTTACAACTCGAAACAGCCAATCGATGTGAACAACACAAAGATCCATGCGAGTGCCAGAAAATTTGAATACGATTACACTATAGACCTGCGATGTGCGCAGGAACGCTGACGCTGTGCACGGCGTTGGACTTGTTTAATGTCCAGGTGCACAGCCCATTTTCAAAATCTAATTTATTTTGAGTTCGTCATGGAAAGTGAACTCACATTTTTAGAGTGCGACTCTCTGAAATAAACGTATTTACACTTCCCTGCAATGCCCTTGGATCGAGAGTAAATGACCTCTCTTTGGTCTGCATAGGAAGAGGAGTGCCATTGGTATTGCTCTAATCGACAAGTTTCAACGACTTCGACATGCGCCATGTCTTATGTCACGGCAATAAAATCGAAGAGCTTCTAGACACAAAAATGAAAGGTTGGATTCATGTGTGAAACATACGGCTTTGTATTTGCCTCACAGAACTCCCGGGATGGCGAGACCTACTTCCTCAAGATACACGTCCCCTGGGAAGTCCTTACAAAGTACGCCGAGATGCTGCACCTTCGGATGCCCATCAAAGTAAGAGATCTTGCAAATAAAATCGAAGCAAAGCAAAGCGGTTTATTTTTTATTATTGATAATGCAAATTGAGGAGCTTTGCCCTTCGGCAGTTTCACGAGTCTACAGTTTCCGTTTCAGCATCATCTCAGTAACAACATGGTGTATAGAAGCACTTGGATTTCCAGTTGAATCGAATTGATACAGACAAACGGGTCTTTGACAGGTCTGTTAGGTGTCTGTCCTATACTTGTTATAACTCAATGTTGCCGGAAGGGCGACAAAATACACCAGAGGAGCAGTCGAGGGCATGCTGCAGATCGCCGTGATCCTGGTGGGTGGTTTTGACAAGCGACAGCGTAGCAAACGAACGGGCGTCGGTGTCGCCGGCGTCACTGCGTCCCAACCCGTGGGTACCGGAGTTTCCGTCGACTGGTCGGCTGCAGTGCTTGCTAGAACTAAACAGGCGTCGGCTGTATTCACCTCCGCTGCAGTGCCACCTCCAGGATCGCGATGATCTGCAACGTTGCTCAACTGAGACGTCACAAGGCGGAGAATGAGGGGGGAATATGAAGACGTAGTAAGCACGCCAGTCGAAGATGCGTTCGAGGCGAATGCGGAGCGCGAGTCCGTCTGCTTCTTGCGGTGGCGTCAGAACGCCAAGCTCTGATTGGCTCTGATTTGAAGGATAGTTGGTGGACCTCAATGCTAGATACCTTGAGGTCAACTTACTGTTATGCAGATGCATAACAGTAAGTTCAGCGAGTTCGTGCAGCGAGTTCGCCTGCAAGAAGCAGACGAACTCGCGCTCGGCATACCACATAAAAGACAAGGCCTGCGCATGATGTCATCGTTAGTAGCAGACGAAACTTCGCCACTTTGGGTTGTCTGCTTACGAGGCTGCATCAACAGCCAGTTACATTGTGAAACGCTTGTACTGTCTAAAGCTTTTTTTTTGGTTTCTTTCAGAAAAGGGATCCGACAATGGATTTTCCTGTTGTCACCGTGACTAAAGGAGAGAAGCCCGTCCTACCCGATGTCAAACAGGTGAGTTTGCAGGGACGCAGTTTCCTCGACATAGAATGTTCGGTCTTATAGTGTGACAATCGCGTGTTCGGTTTTATGGTGTAACAATGGCGAGATGAGTAGCTCTTTTTTCCCGTGTTCCCATTAGATTCGCAGGAGCCGGTCGACTATAAACCATTACTATCTTTCATTTCGCTCTCGATGACTTCCACTTTGCTGTATGTTTGAAAGAAGCTTTGGCTAAGTCACCTATAAATCTTAGAGGAACCCGAGACCGAGGACGTGCAAAGACAGAGAGTCAAGTGTTGTCTTTTTTGAAAATGAACAACCACCAGCTAGCTTGCTTTTTAAGCATGACTTTAGTGACTTATGTGCTCTATTTGAGTTACTGTTTAAACTGGATTGTCGGTGGGCTTGCGATAACGCTCGTTATAATCGGGTTGTTATGCCTAATGACCCTGCGTAAAGCTCTGCAAAGTAACACATAAGATTAGCTTATGACGCGCTTGGACATGTGAAATGCCATTCAATTGTGAAGCTAGCGCTTGATGGGGTTGATGGCATGTGGTTTGCTCGTGTTGGTCGCACCCTAGAAGAGAGCAGGGAGGAGGGCTAGGTTGGAGGGATTAAAAAACGGAGAAGGGGCCGGGGGTGGGGGAGGGGGGCGTAAAGGCTGGTTCACACAGCACCGTTTTCTTTTGTTTTCTTATATTAAGTGTTACTCAACCGAAACATTCATGTCTCAAATGTCGCGAAATAAAATTTTTTTTTTTTTTTGTATTTGCGTTGTTGTAGCAATTTTGCTGGAAGTCACGGCACGCTCTAAGCCCCGCCCACAGATCAGTGGGCCGCCTATTACTACTGGATTGGCTTGGTTGCTCGGTTGAACACGCTAAGAGATCTAGTGTCTCCCTTTCACGACATCCGGCACGTCTGGTCTGGGCACCGCTTGCTAGTCGTGCGAGCAGACGCGCGGCAGCCACTGGCATCGTCTGCCTATTTCACCACCGTCCATCGTCGTCTGCAGTGTCCGTGCATAGCCTTCTCTATACTCACAAAGCCTGGCAGTTCGGCAACGGAACCATACTGTGCCCGGTCGCAGATTTGGAGCGCGAGGATCTGGTAGCACAGAGCATTTCTCGGGAACCTGGACGCCAGCGCACAGTTTTGGCGGCGGCGTGGACCCGAATCCTGGGTTTCAAATCCGACTAGAAAGGAAGCGGTAGCGCGAAGAACGCGAAGAGCACGAGCGGACATTCCATCACTCGGGGGAGGCGCGTTTCGGCGTCTCGCCGCCGCGGGGCGCCCGTCACGTGGCTCTCCTCTCATCCGTTGTCTGCCGCTCTATACCTTTAAACTTCGGCGGCCGCTTCTCGTGGCGATCTGCCAGGCTTTGTCAGTATGGAGGAGGCTATAGTTCATGAAACGCGAACACGAAAGCTGCGCTTCGGCGTCCGTTCTCGCCTCCGTCCGTTCGCTATTCCACCACCGACTAAAAACGTCGGCAACGGTTGCAAGACGCGTACATGAAAGGGGCGTTCTAGCGTTTCATCATTCACGAGCCCTGGTCCAATATATAAGCGTCTGTCAGCGTCTGTCGATGTGTGGTAAAATGCGACAGAGAGGACTAAGAAAAATATGCAAAATGAACAGCAGTCCTTCCAAATCTTCTGTTGTTGTTATTTTTTCGCATGGCATCCGCGAGCAAGGTCAGTGAGCGTCATGAAGCACAACTAAAACGCGACCTAAAATATTCGCATCGGCAGGCCAGGTGCTCTGCAAAACGTAGAGTTACTTTTCTTTCGAAGCAGAATGACAGAAACAAACCGTGACAACCTTGATGCGATCCGAACGCCCGAATGCCTCCAGCCAAATCTCTCGCAAATTCTTACCTGTGCAGGCATCTTCTCGGTATTAAAACCAAGCTTGCAATCACAATGGTCGCACAATTCGCAGAGCAGCGGGGCCGCTTTTACGGGAACCCATATCTTTATTCAGCATCAACACGCTCAAAGGAACAAATCAAGCCTGATCAAACCAACACAGTTAAACTGGGACGCAAGGTTTAGGCCAATTCCGCTACGAACCCAAGCACCCGCTCACCAGCGCTTCCGAAGGCTTTTAATTGAGACAGATGTTTGCTGCAAACTAAACCGGTTGAAAATATCTTCGTCGAAACACCTCAGTGAATGCAGAACGACTCGCACTCATTACAATAGACGAGCTCGACGAGTCGCTCTCGTTGATCATTTTACAGACGCCGGCAGCCATGTTTTTTATCGTTTGAAACCGAAGCAGAAAGGCTGTCTCGGGATATGTTTGAATACAATAATGACTCTATCTAGATTACTTGTTTCTCAAACATAAAATATTCTCGATTAAAATACTATAATATCCTGTAGAGACGCTTTTACAACCAGCCTTTCATACATTAATCATATCTTCAGCCAATGAGAGATGTAAGCACTTTGTAAGCACGGGGCGGGCATAGCGGGCTGTGACCTCCACATTCTGCAATTAAATTGCGTCTAATGGCGTAAACATTGCTCTAAAACGTTTTTAGTGAAAAAAAAAATTAAAGCCAATAATTTTCTTTTTAAGTCTTTCTTCAACAACTGGCCTACTTAACTTTTTTATAGGGAAGGCACTGCGAAATTGTATTTTTAACAGGCGATTTGCATTAAAATGAGACGACACAATTTATTTGACTTTCCGCTGTCATATCTTGCTCTAAATCAGGACTTCTGGTCTGCGTCCCACTGACGTGCAGACACCGAAGTTCATGGAATGCTTGCAGAATTCCCATTGTTTTCATCCTTCCTGCCACTACCCATCAAACTATCGCACAATTCTTTAAAATCGGAAAGGCTGAAGGATTCGTTGTCGCACATGCCTGAGCATTAATCCCTTTTAAAAAGAAAATTTTGTATCCCTTTGTAGGCTAAAGCGGACCTCCGTGCCAAATCTATGTTGTTTTAGCGTAAACGCTCACAAGCGATTGCTTTTTTTTTTTTTTTTTTTTGCTAAACGGCGCGTTTTATTTTTTGTTTTTTTAAAGGAGGAATACAAACGAGCAATTTATCCAAGTTCGATGAAGCAACAGGCGTGATTTTGCCACCTGTTAGAGAGCGTACTAAACAAGCACCGAAACCGAAGCGCGAGTCACTCTCGTGGTCGGGCTTTATATGGTCCGTAAAGGGTGGCACGAGTGACACTTCTTATTAGCAGGCAAGGGGTTAAGCTGGGAGGCACTAATACACCCTTCACCCCCCTACCTCTTCCTCTTGAACACGGGGGATGTTTTTAGGGGAGTGATGTGCTTGACGTCAGTGATCCGCGGAACCAGCGAGGCTCACTCCTTGACTTTAGCATTCACACGAACGACGGTCGCATTCTTGGTCGCATTCTCGGCAACAGGGATCGATGTGTGCTGACGAAAGTAGGAAAATGGAAGCGTACGGGAAGCAGCGACACGCGATTACAGTGGCAGCAACGTACTTAGGTGCCGAAAAAGACAAACCGCATCCCAATAAAACAAACAAACAAACAAAAAATATATGTTTTTGAATGGGCCGAGGTGAGACACAAAGAACTTGGAATCGAGAACAATGTGTGTGAGGAGCGGCTTGACGACGGCAATGATGAATATCGAAGACTCTTTCTGGTGTCTCGCGGACGACATGCGCAACAGCGCAAGCCGCAATAAGTTAGGCCATCCAGATGCCACCCCTGGTATCCCGCTGAGCGAATCGGTAGAATTGCCGGACATGCGAAGAAAAATACCGCCAATTGCGAAGAGATTCCACTCCAAAGCGGGTTGTTAGTGCCGCCCGAGCAAAAAGCTCCCCCATCCCCCTGGGATGTCTCGGTCAGCGCAACTCACTCTCAAAAAAAAAAAAAAAAAAAAAAGGGTTGTGCGTTTACTTTTCCGCAGAACTCTCGGAGAGCCAAGAACCACAGCTTACGGAGACAGCTCAGCGAATGACGATGCCAAAACATGTTTAGACCAAAAAGAGGCAGTCTGAGTTATGACATTAAGCAATGCAAGCGTGACGTTTTCGCATTGCTTAATGTCACAACTCAGACGACGTTTTTTGATCTAAACATATGTTTCGGCATCGTCATTCGCTGAGCTGCCTCCGTAAGTTGTGGTGATTGGCTCTCCGAGTGTTGTGCGGGGAAGTAAACGAACGTTTTTTTTTTTTTTTTAGAGTGTTTGCGCAAAGGCGCGACGTTGTTACCACCTGATGAGTATACCCCGGGGAGGAAAGCGAGGAATTTTCCCTCTGTGTGAATACCCCTTTTCCCCCTTAGGTGCGACCAACACGGGCAAGCGAGGTCTATTGACGGCTGCCACTCGAATCTACGGCTTTAAAACGGACGGTGAACTCGGTGCATCTTTGCTTGACTTGCTACAATCTGAGGGTACATTCTGGAGCTGTGCTTGCCTAAGGAATTCAATGTAAACCCTTTGGTGCTAATTCGCAACGGCAATCAAGACTAACACAATGTTGTCATAAGTTCGTTACCAAAACACGCATAATGGCGCCGCTTTCAATTGTGCTTCTGTTTACCGTCATTCTGACGTAGGTTGAAACAAAACATAATAGTCTTTGACTTCTAACCGGTATATTACTCGATATTATTTTCAAATGAAAGGCACAGAGACCGCTTGTTTATTACCTTTATCACCAAGATAAGGCCAACACTGTACCGCATCGGGGCTGTTTATAAAACACGAAAGTAGACACGTATACAGGATGTGCACCTATACTTACTGATAGGATGAGGACGGCAGGGATGTGTCTCAGTTGTCCCGTCTCCAGCCTCAAGCTTCCTAACTTCGACAACACTTGCGCGCCTGGCGGGCTTCGAGCGTGTATGCGCAGTCAAAGCACGCTATTGAAAGCGTGCGTCAAGACAGTGGCGCCACGGTGCAAAAGCATCTCGCATTGAACACGACCAGACTGGGGTAGACATCCTCTGTGGTAGTCAACCTTAGCTTCCAAGTAATGTCAACT